TATAACTCAATAAAAAAAAAAGTTTAAAAAAAAAGAAAAAAAGAAAAAAAAAGGTCAATCCAAAAAAGTTAGAGGTTATGATACAACCAAGTAAGGAATTTCAGTATTCAGAAGCTATTTCAAATAGGAACTATATAAATGATTATCAAAGATTTTTTAAACCCATTTATTAATCTAAAAAATCATATTTCTTACATACAAAACTTCACTGATGTTTAATAAAATAAGCCAAGCAACAATAATATTATAAAGCCAATAAACTAAACACACCCATTCAACACAATTATATAAATGATTTTCAGGTATAATGAAATAAGATAATCATTTAAACAACCTTTAGTCATATAAAATTCTTGCTACACTTTTAAGAACTAGTACAACAACTTATATGGGGCTTAGTCTCTTGAAAAAACAGAAATAAATGAAGTTGGCTAAGAATCCAAATTAAATCTGAACTAGTGTGCTTATCTCACATAAGACTCAATTGCACATGCAACATGTTAGTATGAAATATAACTTACAGCTGAGGATTGTAATTGAGGAATGAGGGATGGGCTTTTCTACTAGGCACATACCTCATTTCTGACATTTACTGTCTACGTCACCAGCTCTAGGAACTCTGACATTAAGCATGCTATCAGACACAAGCCTGTTTGAGATCAACTTCTAGAGGAAACAATGACTCCAAAAAAATTGAAAATAGTCAGAAAAACACTTAAAATCTTACTACCATTCCCTTTCAAAATGGGTAGGAAGCTCAATTAAAAAAAAAAACTCATTCCTTCTTTTACACATAAACCTTAGTTAATGCTTTAAAACGTGAAATAAAAATGATATTTCATGTTAAATCATATCTAAGAAGCTAAAGCTCAGAGTTATTCAATTAAATTGAATAAAGCTCTCAATTTAACTTCCTAAACACAATGCAGCTCTTGCTATTTCTTATTTCGGTAAGTAACTCAAGTAGCCAGTGTAGTTTTCAGATTTTTTTAAAACATATTTGTCAGGCGTTTAATTTCTGTGTAACAAGGAATCAGGCAGTAATAAAGAATAGCATATCCTAGAAAATCCACTGCTGAGACAGAGTGGAGAGAAATATACTTTAAGTACATGCTAAGGGGTACAGTACCTGATATAAACTAGGTAAAAATACATATCATTTTCCCCTAGAAATTTTTGCTCAAACTTACTCAAATTTTGTTGAGATAGAATTAAATGCTACGTCAGTATTTTTCAAAATTTTGTTTTTCCATATCCATAACAGTGGCACATCTACACAATTCAAATTGATTCTGTTGCTCTTTTTTATGATACGACATCCATTTATGCTCCCTAGATTCTCAGTTCTGCATCTTAAAGTGTAGTGGTTCATCTACAGAGTTAAAAGTATCCTGGGTTTCTGCTACCCTACTCATGATATGCCAAAGATAAAGTATAAGACACTTCCAGACTAGTTCAACCCCAGCCAGGATCCAAAGAGAATATTTATCCCTTTCACAGGTTTTTTGGGACACATTCTTGACATCCTCATGTTTCAGAAGTAGGGAGAACTTCAGTCTCAAACTGCACAGAAAACTTCCAATCAAATATCTGACCGTTTACTTTGAACAGAATTATCTTGTAAAAATAAAAAAAAAAGGAACTTCTAAGTTCTCCAAAACATTATACTTCAGATAAAATTCTGGTATCTTCTATACTACATACAAATCACACTAGTAGATAGAAACAATTTTTGACTTACTGATTATGTACCTAAACAATCAAACACAAAAGCAGAAAAAAATAGTTTATCACTGACTAGGTAGTGTTTTGATTTTTTAAAATTTAGTTATTTGGGTGTTACTAACATATTTTGCAGAATTTTAAAGTAGGAAGAAGCCTTAAACATTATTATCTCATCCAAAGCTCAAGGTCTTACTAATGAGGAACCTGAAGCTCAAAAGAAATCTCTAGATAACTCATGTCAAGTCATTCATTCAGTCTCCAAACTATCACTGTATTCCTTTCTCTAACCAGTTATGGCTGTTTGAATACATACACTTCCTATATAATCATGAGCCTCTTTACTAAGTAGCTTCCCACACAAATGTAAATGTTTCAGAGGAAGTAAAGTCAGCAAAGTGGTGAGAAGACCAGAAAACAAAGATGATTGCCCAAAGTACATCATGAAAAACAAAATAAAAAGGAAAGGGTTTAAATACACATAAGAAAAAAACATAATTTTATGATGTATATGCATCAAATTATTATGCTGTACACCTCAAACTTATATAGTGCTATATAATTACATCTCAAGACTGGAAGAGAAAAAAGAGTGACAGTTTTTCATGGAATTCTCAAAAACAGACATTAGGCTTAAAGAATCTTGACATTTCTTCATTTAAAATTAACATGTGTAAACTTGGGATGTGATACGCTCTTATTTGCAAACTTGGAATCCAGGTTAAAAGAAGTTTTGTTTATGTGCTTAGGCATACAGGGCAAAGAATAACTTTAATACTGACACACACACACACACACACACACACAGTCATACCCCATAGAGTCTAGTACCCAAAACTAACATTTTGTATATGACGGGGGAGGAGGACAGATTAAGCAGGAAATCTGTAATTATACTTACCGAGGTCATTTTGCAAGCCTGTTTCAAGGAAAGGGAGAACTAAAACTATCAGATCATAACATTTTTAACTGAGGTATGTTAGAAGGTAGTGAAATGACCATGTTTTAGGGCACAAATTCTGAGACAGTATAAATATATAAGTATAGTAATTGAGACAATAAAATAAAACACCTGAATTCAGATCTACTCTGAAAAATGTAATATAGGTATATAGTTAATTAAACAGATTTCTATTAAAAGTACCTAAGATAACCACTTATATACAGCATGAGATTTTCTAACTCCAGGTCCTTTGCTGAGAGCCTTAGCCAGAAGTAAGTTCTCCTTCCTTTGAATATTTATAGCATTTTATCTCTAAAGCACCATATCACATTTTCTTCTTATACAATGACTTACGTCTATCTTGCTGCTCCTATTACAATGACTAAATAACAGTGAGAACTCATAACACGCTCTCTCACTCTCACACATACAGAAAAACAAGAGGGACTAGGGATTTGCTTTTGCCACATGTTTAGTATGAATTAGGTGATGGAGCTAGTAAAAATCTAATGATATAAAAGAAATGTGGTATCCAAACAAAGGCAGGTAGAATCTTTTCCTTTTGGCAGTCCCTATATTTGCAATATAGCATTAAATTCATTTTGAGATAGTCACTAAAAACTTAGGAAGGCTTAATGATTGCTTATTATTTCATGGTACCAATAAAGAATGGATAATTCAAAAATATCTGAAGTTAAGGGTAATAAAAAAATTTACATCAATTGCTGTCACTAAAATTTTTATCTAGAAGAGCAAACAGACCCTGAAATGAATGTTTTCCCCCTTCAAATCAAAGTAGATTTTATAACTTGAAAGCAGTTTTTCTACAATGATCATTACTTTGTAATACGGAAATTAATTTCACTTAAGTAATGCATGTATTTCCATGTGCAAAACACTTCAAGTTTCAGAGCATGTCTAATTATCTGTTGTTTTTCATCCATTAAAATCTTTCTGAGCATCAGTACTACAAGGGCAAAGAGCAGACACACTAAATATTAGCAGCCAGCCTGTGAGGAACAAACAACACAGTTATAGAAAAATAAACAAGAAATACACACATGAAAAGAAAAAGAGATCAAATCAAATGCCAACGGTACATATAAGTAAGTTAAAGGTTCAGGGGAAGGTGTAAGAAAAGTTTGAAAAAAGTAGAACTTGAATTGTGTATTAAAAGATGATCGGAATGTATTTAAGTTAAATGATACACAGAAGAAACTGTACATGGTATACTCAGCAATCAGAAGACCATTCTGAGTGAAAGAGACCTTTAATATTGGGAAATGGAGTACAGTAAGTTTAGAATAATAGACTTGAATTGCCTTACAAAGAATCTTGAAAGCCAAGTTAAGAAATGGCTAACAATCATTAATTTAAGACTTAAAGCAGTAAGCTGACATGAAAAAGGAAGCATTTAAGGAAGAGTCATCATGTAGTAGTACGAAGGTGAGCTTTAATGATAAATGGAGTGGAAGCTGGGAAACCCATTAAGAGTTGAATAATAAATCAGGGTTACAGCAACAGAAAAAGTACAAAAGGAATAATTTATTAATTACAGCAGGCAACACAGAGAGTCTGACAAAGAATTCTCAAAGATTTTGTATCTAAGTACCCCTAACAAAGGAAAAACTATGGGGTTTTGAGTCAGCCAGGTCTGGGTCAAATAATCTGTGCTATGTAACTTGGAAGAAGTTATTTAACTTCTCTGAGTCTCAGATTCCTCAAATATAAAAAGATAATTTACCTTGTTTGGGTGTTGAGAAGATTAATAAGAAAATGCACATAAATCATCTATGTACCTAGAACATCACAACACTAAATAAATATGATTTTTACCTCTCTCCCTTGCCTCCCTATTCTTTATTCCTTAAGAATTCTGAGAATTGAGCAGTATAGTAAGTAATCTATCTACAAGTTGTCATTTTAGAGGTAATAAAACTGAGTTAATGAAGAAATAAATGACTTATTCAATGGCATACAACCAGCTACCTTCACTGCTGGCACCAGAAAAGAAATATATAGACCTTAAAACACATTAAAAAATAGGGAAACTACAAACACAGACTCTTCTTTAAAGACATATTCTCTAATAATACAATAGAGGATCTGATTCATAAACTTAAAACATTTAAATGTGACTGTTTCCTTAACAATATAAAAAGGACAATCCATATTAAAAGAAAAAAATGCTTAAAGTAGACACCAAATTCCAGTGTAGGCTGAATTTCCAAATGAGGACCTTTCCATTAGAGAAGGAAAATTAAGGGTATAAATTGCTTCTCTAAACTTAGAGTGAATATATGGGAACTTCAGACACAGCAACAAATTTACTCACCTTCCATGAGCGTGGAAATCTAGACGTAAAAACTGGTCCTCATGTGAGACTGCTCTTTTGGCACGCTGGTGTTTTTGGTGTAATGAATCCACATCATAAGATAATCCTTCATAATGTCTAATGAATTTATTTAAAGGATTTCCATACTGACCTATAAAAAGTAAACAGAATTAGTATCATATTGAAGGCCCATTTGAGTTCTAATATTCCATGATTATTCAAATACCTAAAAAGATGTAAGAAACAACAACTTCACTAATCCTCGTATTTCATTTTCACAGTTTTAAAAAGCTTATTATAATGGGAATTTAAACCACACACAAAAGTTTTGAGGTTAGCCATGGGTTTGTCTAGGATGTACTTTATCAGATTTAGGAAGTTCTCTTGTATTAATAATCTGCTGATAAAAACTATCAGGAACAGATGTTGACTTTTGTCACCCACTCTTTCTGTATCTCTTAAGAAGTTTATATAATTTTTTGTTTTTAATTTATCAATAAGGCAAATTAAATTGACTTATTTTCTAATGTTAAACCAACCCTGCCCTACTGAAATAAATCTGTCATCATACATCATCTTTTACAATATGGTTGGAGTCAATCTGCTATACTTTTATTTAGAATTTCTACTGATGTTCATGAGAAACATTGGTCTGTAGTTTTCTTGTACTTTGTCAAGTTTTGGTATCAATGTAAAAAAAAAAGTTGGAAAATTATTAACTCTTCTTCAATTTTCTGGACGAATTTATATAGAACTGATATTTTGTCCTTAAATGTTTGATAAAATTCACCAGTGAAGCCATCTTGGCCTGGGGTTTTCTTTGTGAAAGGTCATTAACAACAATTCCAATTTCATATATGACAGCTATCCCAGTTACCTACTTCTGGAGTGAGCTGTGGTAAGATTTTATCCATTTCACATAAGTTGCTGAAGTTATGGAGATAAAAGTCATTCATAATACTTCCTCATTATGTTTTTTATCTCTTCTGAATTTGCAATGATGTTACCTCCCTCATTCCTGATATTGGTAATCCACATTGTCTTTCTTGCATTCCTGATCAGGACAGCTAGAGATTTATGGATTTCACTGATCTTCTCAAAGAACCAACTTTTATTTCCTCGATTTTCCTTCATTATTTTTCTATTTTCTATCTTTCCATTTTCACTTTGATCTTTCTTACTGCTTACTGTGACTTTAATTGCCCTTCTTTCTTCAGCAAAGGCCATTGATTTAAGACATTTCTTTTCTAATCCATGTGCTTAGTGCTATAAATGTCCCCTTAAACCTGCTTTAGCAGCATCCCACAAATTGTTATGTTACCATTTTCATTTGTTCAACATGCTTTCTAATTTCCCTTTTAATTTCTTCTATGATTCATGTGCTATTTAGAACTCCATTATTTAAACTCTAAATGGAGCATTTTTCAGTTATTTTTCTTTTATTGACTTCTAATTTAATTCCACAGTAGCCAGAGAACATACTTTGTATGACATCAATCCTTTTACATATATCTGAGACATTTTATGATCAAGAATATGGTTTCTCTTTGCAAATGTTTCATGCACACTTGAAAAGAATGTGTATTCTGCTGATAATGGACACGTGTTATAGAAATGTCACTGTCTGCTCTTACTGAGCATAGTGTTTTATAAACGTCAACCAGCTCAAGTTGGTTGACAGTGTTGTTTAAGCTTCCTATCCTTAATGATTTTCTATCTACCTGTTCAATAATTGAGAATGGGGTATTAAAATCTCTAAGATTGTGACTTTTTCTATTTCTCCTTGCAATCCTTTCCTTAATTGATTTTTGAAGTTCTATTATTACATAAATGTTAATGATTATTATGCCTTTGGATTAATTTACCTTTTATCATTATCAAATGATCTTCTTTATTCTTTGTAATATTCTATGTTCTAAAATCTACTTTGTTTGACTTTAATATAGCCATTCCATCTTTTTTTTTTTTTTGACCAGCATGGTATCTCTTTTTCCATCTTTTCACTTTAAACTTATCTGTGCCTATATACTTAAAGTGAGTCCACTGTAGGTAGCATATCGTTGGGTCTTTCTTTTTTTTAACCAATCTGATCATCTCTGCCCTTTAATTGGGGTGTTTAATAAACATTTAAAGTAGTTACTAATAAGGTTAGGCTTAAATCCATCACGTTGCTATTGATTTCTATTAGTTTCATCTATTATTTGCTCCCTTCTCCTTCTTTGAGACTATTTTTAAATTCTGTTTTATCTCTTCACGGGCTTATTAGCAAAACCCTTTGGTTATTTTAGTGGTTGCTTTAGGGCTTACAGGATACATCTTTAACTTCGACTACCTTCAGGTGACATTGTAACACTTCAGGTATAAGAACCTGACATTACTATACTTTCATTTCTCTCTTCCTGGCCTTTAGACTATAGTCACCATATACTTTACTTACTTAAATCTTATGAACTCCACAATACATTGTTATTGTTTTGATTTAAACAAACAGTTATCTTCTAAATAGATTTAAATAACAGGAAAAATGTATTTCTCATTTCCAGGGTTCTTCATTCCTTTGTGTGTTCTATCTGGTATCTTTTTCCTTCTACCTGGATAAAATCCACTAACATTTCCTCTGCTGGTGAAGAGCTCTTCCAGCTGTTTTATGTCTCAGAGTCTTTATTTCATCTTCATTTTTGAAAGATATTTTCACTGGGCATAGAATTCCAGGCTGACAGGTTTGCTTATTTTAAAAAAAAAAAAGTTTAAAATGTTGCTCCACTATCTTTTCATCCGAATTTCTTCTGACAGGAAACCTGTCATCCTTACCATTATTCATCTGAATATAATGTCTTTTCCCTCCCTAGTGCTTTTGAGATTTTCCTCTTTAATGCTGGTTTTGAGCAATTTGATTACAAAGTACTTTAGTTCCTTTATATTTATTGATCTTAAGTTTCAGTAAACTTCTTGGAACTGTGGGTTCATAATTTTCAACTATTAATTCTTCAATTTTTTTTTTTTCATTCTTCCCACTCCACCCCTACCCAAGCACTCCAAGTATACTGGGTCATGCAAACCTTTCCAAAGCCCACTCATGGTGTTCTCTTATTTTTTAAAACTTTTCTCCTAGTTTCAATTGCTATGTCTTCTAGTTCAATAATATTCTGTAACATCTAATCCTGTTGTTAATGCCATCCAGTTTTTATCTCTAGAAGTTAAGATTTGTCTGCTTTATATCCTTTATGTCTCTACTTAACTTTTAAAACATATGAAATACAGGTATAATAAGTCTTTTAATGTTCTTGTCTGCTAATTCTAATACCCAGGTCAGTTATGGGCTGGTTCCAATTGACTGCTTATTTTTCTCTTTATGGATTGTTTTCCTGCTTCATTGCAGGAAATAATCTTTTCTGAATAATCTTTCAGGGAATGGAGGGCAGATACTGTAAAATTCACCTTGCTGGGTGCTGGACATTTTCTGTATTCCTATAAATATTCTTAGGCTTTGTTATAGGACAGAGTAAAAGTAGTCAGAAATGGTTTGATCCTTTTGGGTCTTGCATTTATAATTTGTTACCTAAGTCTGGAGCCATGCTCAGGGTAGGGCTAATTATTCTCCACCACTGAGGTCAAGATCTGAGTACTCTATCCAGTGCTCCACAAATCATGAGTTTTTCGGTCTGGCCAGTGAGAACAGGCACTATTTCCTGCACCAAGTGGACATGGGGCACTGTTTCTTTCCCTGGTCTCTCATAGTTTCCTCACACGAGCACACTGACTAGTACTCTGCCCAACGCTCCAGGGGAAACCCTCTGCAGATCTCAGGCATTCTCTCTCTATGCAGTGCTCTTAATTCTGATATTCTGTCTGCAAACTCTAGCTGCTTTGGTACCATTCCATCTCGTCAATTCTGCTGCCCTCCACCAAGGTTCCTTCTCATAGCACTGGAGATGGAAATTTCTTACAGGCAAAAGCTCGAACCATCATAGGTCTTGACTCATTTGTTTCTCCTCTTTCAGGGATCAATGTCCCTCACTATCTAGTGACCAGTGTCTTAAAACCCATTGTTTCTCTGGTTTTTCCCCTAGTTTTCTTGCTCTTTTTCAGGCAGAAAGATAAATCTGGTCCTGGTTTCTCCATCTTCATCAGGAGCAGAAGACAGAAACAGTGATTCCTTAACAAATCAGGTATAATTTCTTCCTACAGAAAACTGCCCTCTTTTATAAAACAAACACCAAATTTCAATTTTTAATATAATTTTTTATTTTAATTTATAAATTTGCCTAATATATTGCATAAACCCTAAGTGTTTCATCACTAAATTTTTTATGTATGCAGTCAGTGGCTAGTCACTATATGGTTAAGGATACAAACTCTTAAATCATCTGGATTTAAGTTCTGGAGATTACACAGCAAGGTAAATGTATTTACTAACACTACTGAATTGTACATAAGAAATGATTAAGATAGTAAATTCCACAATTAGCATTTTTTTACTGGAATGAAAAAAAATTATCTGGGCTTGAATCCCATTACCTTCATTTACTGGGTTGTTTCCCTGATTAAGTGGAAAACTCAGCTTCAGTCTCCCACCCTTAAAATAGAAGGAGAATACCTCTCTCTTAAGGCTGTTACAAGGATTAAATGATTTAAGTCATGTGTGGCAATTAACTAAGTGTCTACCATACAGTAAAGGCTCAATGAATTATTCATAGTCATCACCATCTCTTCCCTTTCCTCCTCCTTCTTTTCCTCCTTCTCCCACACTTCTCTGAGGCCTATATGAACACATTGAGGCCATACATTCAGGAATAAAGACAGAACTGGGTTTGAATTCTGACATTTCTTAGCCATGACTACATGAGCTAGATAATAATTTAACTTTTTGAAAATCTCAGGGGTTTTTTAATTTGTAAAGTAGAAACAACAATGAATACCTTAAATGCAAATAAACTGCTTAGCACAAAGGCTGGCATGCAAAAACCATTCAATTTAAACTATTATTGAGTCACTTCACCATGCTTTCAAATACACTGTTCTAAAGAGAGGTGACAGAAATGGAGTCCTAAACTAGAATGCATAGCTTTCTTTACAATTAGCAAAGAAAATATAGTGAAGCCAGGGTAGAAGAGAAAATAAAGCCTAGTGGTAAGAGACTTTCAATCAAGACTAAATAATTGAATCATGCTAATG